TACTTATACATCATTCATGGAATAAAATGTAAAAAAAAAAAAAAACAGTTTGATATTCATCAAGAACAATTCAGATAACATTCAAAAGTAACTTTTCCATAATGTTTGCAAAATGATAAAATGGAATGTTTCTTTAACATTCGCATAACCATAAAAGGTTTTTAAAATGTTTAAAATAACTTGATTTTTTGAATGTTGAGAGAACATTCCAAAACAAAGTTTTCATAACTTAATATTTAACAAAACGTTCTTAGAAAATATTTTTGTTTGGCTGGTTGTGCAGTAAGACAAAACACACTAAAGATTAATAAATAAAATAAAAAAGCTAAAAATGTCTTATGCAGTGTTGCTGCTTAGATTTTTTTTTAATATTTTAACATAAAACATAGAAAGAAATGCTCATTAAAAATAGGCTTTTTTGCCGTGTATGTTATTGCAACACAAGTTGGCAAATACTTTGGGGGATTTTAGTCTTTAAGGAGTAAAGAGCTGAGCTTGCATGACTAGAAAACAACTGCCCTAGGGTGTTACCCAGATCCAAAATGGCCGCCAAGTGAGCTGACTTGCTTAAAACAAGACTTTTCATTCACAGAGCTGCACCATCTGATACCCATCAGCCCCATATGTAGGCCCTCCACCCCTTCAATCAGCACAGAGCCTTGTTGTTTACACCCATCTTTGTTCTGATACATCTCAAGTCTTTCTCCTCCTCCTTATGCTAAGTATTTAGCCTCAGGCCGTGTGGGACGTTCTTGCTCTCATTCTTGTGTTTTTTGTTTTTTTGGGTCCACTGTCATGTACATAAACTAGTGTCTTTGAAACTGCCCCAGTGGCTTCCCTGCTGAGGGCAGAATTTCCCCGCAGAGATACTTTGATGATAATGACTTTATGCTTTGAAGAGCCTGTTTTATGACACGTTGTGCCCAGACAACCGTTATCGTTCAATGCAGTGATCACAGGACTGTGAATTAAAGGTCAGCTTCCCACCACCAGAGGCAGAGGGTGGAGAGACCTGAAGGTCTAACACACCTGGCCAATGTTTTTCCTGATGCTCATCTTTTTTTTTTACTCCTCATAATGGGTGTTTACGCGTTTACTCTAAAGAGCAAACACAGGGTCAGCTGTGCCACTCTTTTCTTAAAGGAAAAGTTCACTCAAAAATGAAAATTGTGTCATTACTTACTCACCCTCAAGTTGTTCCAAACCTGTATGAGTTTCTTTCTTCTGTTGAACACAAAAGAAGATATGTTAAAGAAGGTTGGGAACCAGACAGTTGACTGCACCCACCCATTGACTTCCATAATAGGAAAAGAAAAATACTATTGAAATCAGTGGGCGCCGTCAACTGTCTGGTTACCAACATTCTTTAAAATATTTTTTAAAGTGTTTATAATATTTTATAAAATATGAATATATATATAATATATAATTTACAAATATGAAATGATTTCTTAATCATAGGCAGCTGTATAGCTTGGGCTTTTTCTAAAATCATAATCATACACCATTTGGTAAATTTAGGACATAACACGATTTATACACTGACACATCTTACCTCACTCCCCCTACATCAAGCCGTCATCTTGATGTAGAACATGCGGAAAGCGGTGTAAGATGGGGAGAGAGAGAGATGTAGAAAGACGGAGTTGGAAGATGCCGGAAAGGGCTCGCTTCAAAGAACCACATCACAGGAGGTTATAGAAGTGAAGTAAACAGTATTCGTAGCGCTCAGATCTGCAGTAACCACAGCACCCAGAGGCTTGATATCCAGCTCTCTTGGGAGCGTTTCAAAGCCCTGTTTTGAGCTCGTCATGGAAGCTTAGATTTCTTTCTGCTTGTCACTCACTTTAATTCCCTCCTCTCCTGGCCTTCTTGTTATTGATTGCGTTCACAAATTAACAGCACTCAAGTTTATTGTGGCCCACTTTCAGCTACTTCCTTTCAAATTTTCTACCCTATGATTGTTCACAACGTCTACTGAACTCGCATTGGGTTTGTTGTGTCTCTCGACTCTAAAGAGTCAAAACTTAATTAATACGGTCCAGTCTGGCAGAGAATTTCATTGTAGTCCGCCTGTGCGGCAGCCTCAGTCTCCGTGATTTCAGAAATCCATTTCAACTCAAACCAGATCCAGGATCGGGAGCTTGGGATCAGATGGTGGCGGTAGGGGAATCAAATCCGCATGTTCTCATTTCTTTAATAGACTTCCAAGGTCTTTTTTTATTGGGCCTGTTTGTTGGCGTATGTTGTTTGATGTTACCATGCTTTTGGCCGTCTTTTACGCTTTCCCTGGCCAGGAAGGATGGACACCTGCTGCTCCATTCCGGTTCTTTTTTTAAACATTTGCGATTCCTCTCTCTCGCACCTAGAACGATACAGAAAAATCCTCCCGCTGGGAAAATGTATATCATCATCTCATCTTTAATGGACATCTGCTACCAAACCCTTCACTTTGGCTATGTCTTTTCTTAGACTTTTAGCTGAGGTCATCCTGCTGTTTTTGGATTATTTTACATAATGCCCTACTATGACCTAAACTCGTCACCCTAATGAACTGCTGAAACCGCTTGAGTCAGTTTCTGTCTCCGTGTGTCCTGGGATGGTGCTGCGACACTACGAACACATTTTTCAGTTCCGTTCCTTCCAAAAAGAAGCCACAGATGGGAACAAAACGACCTTGTGTTGAATTAGGACACCGCTGGTTGAATATTCGTGTGTGAGTGAGCATGCTAGACAGCTGCAAGTCATTCTGCCCCAACTGTGTGAGCTGAGCTTTTGTTCTTCAGGCTCGTCCTGCTCATCTCCTAATTGGTTGTGCAAGCCGCGGAGAGCTGGGCAGATTCCCCAGCGAGCCCCACCCGAGCCCGGACGGTCCCTACGGTACAGCATGTGGCTTTGATTTGTGGCTTCCCTGAGGTGTCTCCTCCTATCATCTGTGTGGTTTTGGCACCAAAAGCATTACCGTAATGAGATATTGACCGAGCAAAAAGGATTACTGTCGCTTTAAATCAAACCAAAGTGATTGCGGTCTGCCTGCGAGAGGAAAGCGCAAGCTAAATATGGTCAAAATAAGATAGAAGAGAGAGCCTTTATACCACATGCTGTGATCTGTACCCCCATCACCCTCCTCGTGTCCTGAACTTCCTGTAATTGCTGACCTTGGTTACAGAAAAATCCTGCCGATTCAACAGATGCATCTGGTTATCGACATTGCTTCTTGTTGCAGGAATTTGTGGTGTGGGATTCCAGATGAGAATGATGAAAATGGTGTCTGGGATTGTGTGCATCAAGCCTCTTTTCTTGATATTGAAAGTTGAGGCATATAGTTGGAAGGAATTTTAGTGACAAAATGTTCAGTCTTATAATTACATGTTGTCAAAATGTTTTGAACGAATGCAATGTCAATTATCCCCAATTATATCCCTGAGAATAAATGGAATAAAGTATATCGTGAAATAAAGTATATCCTGAATATAAATGGCTTTGGATAAAAGCGTCTGTCAAATGCATAGAAAAATAAAATAAATCAATAATGAAACATCAGGTTAAAATCAATTTAAAAAAAAAATCCTTCACAGTCAATTTTGCAATTTTGACCTGTTAAGCCAAAATGTTATGAACAAATGAATTCTGTATCAATTATACCTTACTTACATATAATGTACATTTTTGTAACTTTAAACCAAGGGTTCAAATTAGCAGGAAATGCATAGGAAAATAATGTATCGCATGAAAAGCAGTTGCTTTAGATTTAAAAAATGCATGCCAAATACGTAAATGTCAAACTAAAAACTTTAATTCTCCGCCATGGTTAGTTTTGCATGCTAGCATTTTTGTAAACATTTTAAAACCTCCTGATTTTTCTCTCAGGATTGTCTGGAGCAGGGTGACAGATGCATCTGGTTATTTGTGTACCTTCACATTGCCTCTTTTAGCAGGAATTTGTGGTGTGGGATACCAGATGAAAATGTTCGCTGTGATCATCGGCGTCTGGGATTGTGTGCAACAGGCCTCTGTCTTCATATTGAAGGCTGATGCTTTTAGCTGGAAGGCAGTTTCTCAGCATGGAGGCCATTACCACTGTAGAGCTCCATTTGAATGAATGGCAGTTTGTGTGTATGTGTGTGTAGCGTCTGTTTGCTCTGTTGTGTACGTCAGACTGCATGTTTGTAGAGGTCTGTACTAAGTGCCTCAGGTCTGCCAAACGAGTCAGGACTTTTGTAGCCGATTCTGAAATGTGGGGGGAAAATGAAATGTGAATGTTTCTTGAAATGGAGCAGCGTAATGAACTCAAGACTGTTCCCATATTCAGCACCGCTCTGGCGTTTCTCCACGTATCCCACAATGCCTATTCATTTGAGTCCCTAACCATTGCGTTCTTTCGCTCTCTAGCACACTTTCAATCTGACTTTTTCTCTGTTCATCATTTTTCCCTCTGTTTTTTCAATTTCCGAATAAAATCAATCGCAGGCGTTCGCGATAACTAGGTTTGACCCCTGACACTGTTGTACGTGTTTGCCCGAGCAGAGAGTAGACGCTTGAAGTTATGTGATTTCACTCTTGACTGGCGAGACATAGATCTGCGCCGTGTCATCATGGGAGCAGACTGTACATGAGTCACGTCCCTGAGACGGACAGCTTGGGTTGCCCTCAGTTACCGCAGTCCTAGTATTCATAATGTTTATACCTCACATGCTGTGAACTGACTGCAACTGGTTTTCTCAGAACTACCTGCTGCTACACTTGTTCATTATTAAGGGTCATTTTCGATGTGCATGTGTACTACCTTTGAACAAATCTCTTATCAAATAAAATTTCAAAGTCAGATTAAATAAAACAACCATATAATTCAATTTCATTTAAAAGGCAGTTAAGTCCAGGTATTGACCTGTACCTGACATTCTACAAAAAAATCTGTATCAGTAAAAAGTTTTGTCAGTTGTACTTGATAGCATTTTGTTGAATGATAACAACATATTATTAAATGTTTTTTCCCCCAGGATTCTCTGCAGCAGAAAGACGACCGCATCGAGGAGCTGGAAGAGGCCTTGCGTGAGAGTGTACAGATCACGGCCGAGAGAGAAATGGTGCTGGCACAAGAGGAATCTGCTCGTGTAAACGCTGAGAAACAGGTGAGAAACAGATGAAGCCCAAGGGTCATTAACATGCCAGTAGTCTCTCTCTTTGTTTTTTGGACTGCACATATTGTTCACTTTTTTTTTTCACATTCAAATCATTTTTATTTAATACTTTGTGCCTTTTAATTTGAGTCCGAATAGGAGTTGTATATTACGTAGAAAAGTTTTATTTTATTTTATTTTTATTTTTTACAATCCATTACAGCTTTACTCCAGCTCACACTCCAGGAGATGTTTGACAACATTTTGGATAGTTATTTTGCACCTTTCTAGCCAGTTGGCAACAAGATTAGGCTTGGAGCAGCCAGCTTTGGCAGTATTGAGACTTCAGCTATCATAGTCCTTAGCTTTTCAAGTGTGATAAACAGTCATGTTCTCTGGTAACGTTATCCAATAATGGTTCTAAAGAGCTTCTGTTTACTATTACAACGAGGACTGTGATGTGTGTCATGAAGCAAAATGTGTGCGGTAACATCAATGTGGTGCTAGCCAAATCCTACGGCCATCTTTCCATTGTGGAAATGTCCACTTCCTCTTCCTCCCAGTTAAACATCCTGTCCAGTGTTTACACATAACTGTATGCATATCCACACAAGGCTAGCATCTCCCAGACTGGGTTGTAATGGCTTTTGCTTGGCGAACGTATCGCTCCTGCTAAAAAGCCTCCTTCACATGGCTCAGGAATCGGTAAAAAAGACGGCCTGTCACTGCACATCACCACACCAGCAACTAGAGCCGTGCCAACCGTCCAGATCCATGCCAGCGCTGCATCGCCGTGCCAGTGGTGAACATTCATGTGGCATGCATGGGTTACATGTTTGTGTCTGCAGTCAGTCTTCATTTAGAACATAAATAAGCTTTGTGTGGCCTGCGTGAGGTCTGCTAACTTTGGTCCGTTTCAGTTCATCCACATAGAGCGTGAGCACCTGAGGAACGGTGTGTCTTTCTTAGCATTTGTAAGCAGGAGTTCAACTGTGACTTTGGAGGTAGGGGAGTGAAATATCTGGGAAAATATATCTCCTCTACCCAAGTCCACTTAAAGGGATAGTTCACCCAAAAATGAAAATTCATCATTTACTCATAAGCTTTGGTTACTCTTCCAAGCACAAATTAAGGTATTTTTAATATAATAAAACTTCTGTTTCTGTCGCTCCATTAAAAGTCTAGGCAACAAGTACTTAGAAGATCCAAAAAGGTCATAAAGGAGTTGTAAAATTAATCCATATGTATCGAGCGGTTTTATCCACACCCCGTGAAGAAATATATTGAATTTTGGCTTTTATTCACACACATACATAGAACGCATCACACGCTACAACAAACCTCATTGTGCATCTCACACAAAATAAAAGCCTAAATTAAATCTGTTCATTATATAAAGCTATTGTATCATTTCAAAAGACTTGGTTTGAACCCCTCGATTCGAATGGATTTGTTTTACAATGCATTTATGAACTTTTTAAATCTAAGTTTTGGTTACCTGGACTTTCAATGGAGCAACAGAAATAGTCATTAAAAATAATTTGTAATAAGTTTTACGGGTTGTTTTTTATTATTATTATTGGGTGCGTTATCAATGACCTTGAAACGTTTTGTTTTTTTGAGCAATTAAACTCTTTAAATGGAGACCAAATGTGTGTCCTGGACTAGGACATATTGGAAATCGATTGAATTGACAAATAAACTGCAAATAAATTGGTATTTGATGATTTGAAGGTGCTGGAATGCCTTACCCAGGTTGTTCTGTCCCAATTGAACCTGTTTTTTAAGGCATCAATGTGTATTGCTCCACAGTCCAGCTGTCTTTGGAGCCCTGGAGATAGCATCAAACTCCTATAACCTTCTCCGAATGAGTCCTCCCTGAATCGGAAACACAAGCAGCCAGTCAGCCTTTGAAACGGAGCGCAAAGCAGCTGCCAAAATCTTGCTTCCCCTGTACCTGAATCCCTGAACTTTTCCCTTTCCTTTCTCCTTCTCTGTCCATCTAACTTGGCTCAATTGAGAAATTCATTTTTAAACCCTTAATGGTTTATTCAACCTTCTGTGGATCCTGGCGCCCTGCCGTTTCCTTCCTATTCTTTCTATTTTCTAGAGATTTCGCATGGCTGGCTGAGCATCGTCCCAGTGTGCGTTGCAGTCTCAGGAACGTATCGTGGCCTAGAGTTTCTTCACCGCCGGGCGGACCTCCGCTCAATCCCCCGGAGGTTAATTAGAGCCAGGGGCTGAGGCGGGAGCCAACGCTGCTGCTAAGCCTGGCCGGCCTCCTCATTCGGGCCCGGAGAGAAGAGGAAATGGGGACAGTACAAGTGCCACCCTCCGGAGCCAGTCTCCACGCTCATTACCGACGTCCCAGCCACATCAAGTCTCGCTACATGCACTCAGGATATCGCCATTAGAAGTTCCTCCCCACTCTGGCACCTGTTATATAAGAATGAACTCATATTCCGGGTTACATATTTTAGGAGTTATGAGCTACATGATTGGGGGAGAAAAATGGATGGCAGCTTGCCTCGCTGGCAATTGGCAGACATGTTTTTAAATGCTTAATTTGTGGTCCTGCATTAAACCATGCAAAATCTAATTAGCTTCACACACACACACACATGTTTTTCCTTACGCACACACAGAGTCTCTCCTCTGCTATTTAATTTACATCCCTGCATTGCTTCACCACACCCTCTGTTGTGCCAATCATATGCAAGCGTTCGTCTTTAGCTCTGTGTTCAATTTCCTCCAATAGCTGTTCATCTCATTGTTCGCATTGTGCAGAGCACATGTTGGACCGAGCACAGTGCCTGTACAAATTTCTGTCATTATGTTGGTCTTAAATGTATGGGGACGGGGGCGACTGCTCTTTGTTACGCTGACATAAAAGCGAGCCTCTGGCCAAAAAAGAGGCCGTTCTCTCTCGTCAAACCATGTGCGTCCGTTGAGCTCACTTTAAAGATCTGTGTGAATGTGCACTTAATTTGAGAGCATGGGAGAGCTACAAGTTGTTTGCTCCATTCATGCAGCTAATGAAATTTGGAAATATGAATCCAAACATGTTTTTTTACAAGGCCATATTGGGCCCTTCTCTCTTGTACCAAGTCTGGAAGATTTCTGACAATTACACAGGTCAGTGTGAATGTCTTCTGCTAGAGTGCTACTATTCTTCCTTCTTTTTTTAATGAATAGATGACCACAAATGAACATGGAATTCTGTCATTATTTACTCACTTTTATGTCATTCCAAACCCATATGCAATTTTGGTAACATTTAAGGTTCAATTTGTTTAGATTATTAATGCATGATGTATTATGAATAAACAAGGAACAGTTTCTTCAATTTTACAGCATTTATTTATTTTGGTTAATATTAACTTATAAATATATATTAATATAATTTTATCAACCCATTTTTCAACCCATGCATTAATTTGGGCATTCATGCTTGCTTTCTCATCTCCCAACAGGCATACAACAGGTTGTACATGCATGATGTTTTCAATCAGTTCAATTTAATTTAATGCATGTATATAAAGACAAAGGAAAACAACAGTCCCCCAAATAATTGGTATACTTATTTATTGTACTAATACATTTTTGACATTTCAAGTTATGGACAGACATGAAATGAACAATGGTATATTTATTAATTAAAATTAAGCTATATTATTAAATGCTGTAAAATATAGCCTAGTTGTTCCTTGTTTGTTGATACCTAATTCATTACTTTTAACGAATTTACCTTATTGTTCAATTCTCAGTGTGCAGTAAGTCTTTTAAAGCCATTTTATAGCTTTATGTGACAAACAGACTTGAATTTAAGTCGTTACCTCTGCCATTGAAGTCGTATGTACCCCTGAAATTACATCATCACACCAAACGGCATTTGACGAGGTTCTTGCGTGTCTCGTGATGTCATCATACTTGTGGCATGTTTGATTTGAGAGCTGCAGCTGAGAAGATTGAATAATGGCATGGAACAACATGAGTAAATGATTTTTCATTTCTGGGTGAATTAGTCCTTCAAGTTTTCCCCCTATTTTCTCACTCCATCTTCCTGTCAGTGATGATATTTCAGGAGTGTTGGCTGCTGTATCAGAGGAGCTGGGTGTCAAAACAGGGTTTTCTCAGTCCATTCAGTTTGCTTGTTTAGCAGATGAGCCTGTCTTATTTTAGCTGATGCTTTCATGAGCATTATTGTCCTGCCAACTGCTTTGAGTCGTGTGCTAGTAAGGGCAAATGTGGTCGCCGAGAGAAAAAGGGGGGCATTTTCTTCCTGCACAGGGCCCTCGGTGTGCAGTGACACCAGTCACTCTGTCCCAGCTCAGGATTTACGGCCGGGATGTACGAAAGCGACCAGCCGCTCATGCGGGGCCAGTGAAAACGTTTGCCCAAGACCACATGAAAACATGCGTCCAGTCTCCAGACATGATTCAGCAGCGAAATGACATACTTCATAACCTTCCCTGGAGGCAGTGGACCAAAGAAAGCCTCAATCTCTCTGCTCATGTTGACCGGGGATGATGGGATGTCTCGAAACCACCCTTCCTCTTTCACCACAAGCTTCCCCCTTTCCCCTACCGGCCTGACCCAATCCCGTATGGATCTCTTTTCCGCTCCGAACCTGTTCTTGCTCAGATGTTTTGCTGTTGTCTTGCTGGATCCATGGTTACCATCCTCTTTCTCTTTCTCTAGCCCCTCTTCCTCTGCTTCCAATTTTCAATTTGCGTGGTTTGTTTCAAACTATTGTTCTGTTTTGCTCTGTTCTGTCTCTGTTCCCTCTGACTTTTTCTATTATTCTTCTTTTTCTCTATTTCTTCTCCATCACTCACTGCCTGTGCGAAGCGCTCTCATGACCTAATGCATGACTCCGGCCGCGCTGGCTTAAAGTGGCTCAAGGTATGGCTCGATTAATGTTTTCTTTCTTTTACAAGGAATGATTTGAGTTTTGTGCTTTTCATCAGTTTCGCTGCATCTCAGTGACCTTTTTGTCTCATTTAGATGGGGGTGTTCGACAAATGTGGCTTTTGGTCCTGATCCAACCCAAACTTTTCCAAATAGGAAGCTTAACCACTGACAGAGTGCAATTTATTGACTGTTCCCTGAAGATGAGCTCTATCAGATCATTATTTTATGTGGAAGGCCTCTCTTATGCTTTCCCCCTGCTTTTTTTCCATTATATTGGGAAGTCATGCTCATTTGCGTCTGTCTATCAGGATAAGTTATGTTTTGATTTAACTTTTATGTAGTGCGTCCAACACAATTCTGTTTCTGCTGTGGGAAGTTCAGTTTCTCCATTGCATGTAACTTTAAATACTTGTTATATAAACATGCGGTCAATAGTTATACTGGTAGTTAAGGCGCAGTTCACCCAAAAATCAATGTTTTGTCATAATTTACTTATGTTGTTTTAAATACGTTTGACCGACTTTCTTATGTGGAACATAAAAGCAGATGTTTAGCAGAATGTCCAAGCTGCTCTTTTCTAAACAATAGAAGGGACTAAGGATGGGACTGTCAAGCTCCAAAAAAAACACCATAAAAGCATCATATAAGTGGTCTCATATGCTCTATTTCAAGTCTTCTGAAGTCATATGATAGCTTTGTGTGAGTAAAAGACCAAAAATCAATTTTAACATGAGGAATGATTTTTGGGTGAATTGTTTATCCAAAAAAAGCGTAAATAGGCAGTTTAGACACGTTAGCTCACTCTTTGCCTGAACCAGTCAAGTCACACTGTCAAAATCTCAAGCAACCAGTCCGATTCACAGTCAGTTCTCACTCCATACTGCAGGGGGCAGCGTGACGGCAGAGGTCTCCAAGCTATCCAGGCCAAAAACAGACATGGAAATTAGTCAAAGAATAAATAGCTCTTACAGCTGCCGCTGCTCTTTCTCAAGTTTGTATTCAAGCCATCGTCAGAAACAGCCTGGATTTTTATGATAAAACTTTAGAGGGAAATAAAACTCCCTCCTCTGCTAATATTCCCAACCAGCTGAGATCCAGACACAAAGATCAGCACCCAAAACACAGCAAGATCCAAAGACCAGCTTGTTGAAATTGGCTTTATGCTCACCGTTGCTCGTTTGGCAGCCGGGGAGGAGAGAGTAGGAAGAGACGGATGAGGAGAAGGGGAGAGAGAGCAGGAGAAAAACAGCACGCTGCTGCATTAAGCACTTTTTATTAGTGTTATGTTTCTGCTCCGAGCATCTGGGTTAGTCTGGATATCTCTCACAGGAGGTGATTAGAAGCTTCAGAGCTCGGCACGGGCTGAAGAGAAGGCCCTGATCTAACGCCCACCGTGATCTCACCACCTCAAGTGCACATCAATAACAAACCAATATGAAGTCTTACACTGACAAAAGTACCACTGTTATTGCCATGTTTTTAGAACATGGACTATGATTGTGGTACAGTATACCTTTTTTTGGACACTTATGCCTTTGTATTCTTTGAAGTACAAATACCATGGGATGCAAATATGGTAATCAGCCAGCACCATGATATATGCTAAAGTACCATGGTATTACCATCTTATACCTCTTAGTTTTGTGTATGGGTCAGCACTTAATGAGGATGGGTAAAAATGAGCAGAATTTTGTTCCACTGACCTGCATCTTGCATTGTCCGTATCTGTATTCAGTATATGCTGTCAGATGTGATGTCATTATTCTAACATAACTAAGGGTCTGTTTAAGCAGAACTCGTTTTTGTGGTTAAAATTAAGAGCATGCAACGTTGTAGTTACAGTACGTTGTCAGTTACCAAAATTACCAAAAAAAAAGTAAATATGTAAGTGGTGTATTTGTCAACCGGGAAGGATTTGCAGGTATGCTCATTCTATTCATCAAGATTAGTGTCCATATGTTTTATTAACAGTTCATAGTAGTATTGTGTATTTACCATGGTAGTTTCCGTAACCTTAACCCAAAATACCACCAATTTTTCATTTTTGATGACTGCGGTAGCTCATACCTATATTGTATTAAGAAAATCTAATTTGAAACTGCTATATAATAGCCTTGCCTTATAATACTGTTTATTCATCAGTGTCAGGGAAATTTTTACAATCTATGTGTATTTTAAGTTAAGTGGGACGTTACCATTTTTGAAAAATCAATTTTCTTGGTTCAAATTCCTAAACATTTAATTCACAGCTTAATAACCATGGGTGGCCAAAAATGTTGGTCCCATGGCCAAACCAGTGATGTATGCTTTATACATTACCATGGTACTGTCACAGTACTTTTTAAGTTTAGAATCTGCATCCGTCACCATTTCCATGCAGATTTCATTGGCTATTTTCTGCAGACATTTTGAACATAATATTCCCCAATTTTCTCCCTTGTACGTGGTTGAATTGCCCCTCAACACATTTTTCAGCGATAAGAGCATCCCTTGTTTGTTTTGTTTTTTTGAACAGGCAATGCTTTTCTTTGTCTATTTTATTCATTCAGATTTCTTTGCTGATATTTCCTTTTGGTGCATTGCATTTACCTATTTCTGTGTTTCTTTCTCTCTTGTTCTGCTCTCTTGTAGTGCAAAGAGGCAAGTATACTGCGCTCTGCTTCATTCTTTGCTTATGTCCACGTGCATTCCCTCATCTGATGAGGCATATGTTCCAGACCCTCTGACCCTGCTTCAGTTTTTATTTTTCCCCTCTTTTCCTGTTCTTTTTATCACTCTTCTCCTTGATCACTGACAGATCCTCTTCCATCCCCCAAGGCCTGTTTCTGACACCGGTTTTAAGCAGCCAGCCTTAAATTAAACAAAAGAGGAGAAAATCACTGTTATCAATTCCATAGACGGTACGTCACAACTGATGTGAGCAATTACTCCAAGTCGTAAAAACACTTGCAGAGGCTGAAGCCGGACTGTGAAGATTGGTTAAAGGACGTGCATCTTGAACGCTTTGATCTGTACTCCTCGTGCCTTACTGGTTCAGGTTCCCAGTGTGAGAAAGGAAGTGGTGTTATCATCACCCAGTGAAGTGCTCAATTTTTCACACCCGAGGTGTCATAATTCACTGCAGCGTTTTTTTACGACTTGACTAACATCTGAGGTTAGTTTGTACTCCCCTGAGAAAACAAGCGCTGCATGCCACCTTGTTCTTACACACACACACACACACACACCATCCATTTTTCCATCACAAGAAAGTCTTTGCTAAAAGCAGTGTTTGCATTGTTTTTAATATTTCTGCTCTGCTTTAATATTTCATGTCCTAATTCTAGTGATTGACGAGGAGGATTCCTTGCATTCTTTGCAAGGGGATCATATTTAGGGGATCCTTGGCATTAAAAAGTTGGAAAACCAATTAAAAAAATCATTTAAATATTATTTTTAACTCTATTTGTTTATTTGTTGTTAATATTTTATTATATATATATATATATATATATATATATATATATATATATATATATATATATATATATATATATATATATATATATATATATATTTTTTTTTTTTTTTTACTGTTGATTCAATAGCAGCACAGTAGTTCAGAAAACAATGTTTTAGTATGGTGTTCCATCAACATCGATGGAAGGAGGTCACAGGACTGGACATAAAAAGGGGATCCGGTTCTGAGTAAGAACCAGTTCTTGATTCCACACTACAGTATAAAGTTCTAGGAATCATAATGTCTATGACAACTTATGTAGGCTTTACAAATTTGTGTGTGTGTGCGATATTTGGCTTTCCTCTCAGTCTGCCAAGCCTTTAGTCAGACCTTTAAAATCTGTTAATTATGTCCTAATGAATGACTTAACTCAATGGCTTTGCGAATTTTGCTCCAGGCGGCGCTTACTAAATACTTTTACAGTAAAACTGACCAAGCACACTGTAAATTCATTCGAATCCATTTGTTCCAGATGATGTTTGGTCACCGAGGATGGAGTCAGTTTGGATATCTCCCCTCAGGGCACGGTGACACCATATCACCTCTCGCACATCCTGGACTGATTAGTTAACCGCTCCGCTGCCGCTGTGTGTGTACGTGTGGTTGCACAACAGCGGGAGATTTCGTCAGATTTTTGTGTGCTGTTGAATGAAAATTGTGCAGAGTTCTCACGGTTCCGTCTTTGCCCCCCCTCACCTCTCATTGGCTGCTCTGTTTTAACAGACAGACCTGTTGCCCCGCCCTCACCACAGGGTTACCACTGGCAGTGAAACTGATGCTGCCAGTGTTTAAATATTTATTTCTGCTCATACTAGGGGGCCTGAGGCAGGCAGTCTCGATTCCCTCTCACTTTGTTTCTCTCTCTCGAAAATGTTGCTTTTTTTTTTTTTTTGTATCTGTGAAAAATATTACTGCCTTTTGTGTCCACTCAAACTCTTGCCAGTTTTATTCTTTTAAGATGTGACCTGTTCTCTGCGTTTGAGGCAAAAGGAACGCTTGCCTGGTCTGTCTCCACATGAATAATTATTTCCTCTTCTTTATTTTTGAATTTGACATGCATTACATTGTAACATAAGCCATTCCGGTGAGCCCTCACTTACCTGATCCTGTCAAGTGGAATTTGCTGGTGGATTTCACGTGCCCAGGGGATGCACCATCATCCTTGGGTTTTAGTCGCAACCCATTTGTTACTGTTCAGTTTCAACCCTGTGTGAGTTTGGTGTGGTATGAGACGACGAACGAGAGCATAGGAGTGCGAGACTGGAAAGCAGACGGCAGTAAATTTGGCCGAGTGGGTTTTGGTAGCTTGTTCACTAGGCTTGGCTCGGGTGTTGTACATTAGGCAGATGACTTATGATGACGGCTGGATTGAGCGCTCTCACAGACCCTGCAGTACCTCCAGCCACCAGAGGGCAGCACTGCTGAGAGCACATGCTCACACATACACTTCTATTGTGTTTTTTCCCAAAGGGGATTATATTTTCACAGCTGAAATCCTGCTTTTGTGGTGTTTCTGCGTATTGCCCTCAATACTCTGCTGGAAAACAAATCCAATGCTCACAAAACATAGGATAGAATGTATTCATGGCTTTGGGCAGTGTCGGGTGGCAGTGCTATTAAAATGTTTTAATAATCAATGTATTGAAGGAGTAGTTCACCAAAAAGTGAAAATATTGTCGCCATTTACTCACCCTCGTGTCATTCCAAACCTGCATGATTTACTTTCTTTTGTGGAAAACGTAGAATTTTTGACGTTTGATTATTTTTTTTTAAAATAATGAACTGATCGAGGACAGGGACTGGATGCAAAAGCTCCATAACATTATGATAAAAGTGTCCCAAGTGGACTTGTGTGCTATATTCAAGTCTTAAGAATGTATACGACCTGAATTGAAGTAATTCCACAGCCATACCACGCTCTAGCCCAAGACTGAAGCTAAGCAGGGTTGAGCCTGGTCAGTACCTGGATGGAAGAGCTCCTGGGAAAACCTGGTTGCTTCTGGAAGAGGTGTTAGTGAGGCCAGCAGGGGGTGCTCACCCTGTGGTCTGTGTGGGTCCTAATGCCCCAGTATAGTGACGGGGACACTATGCTGTAAAAAGCACCGTCCTTCGGATAAGACGTTAAAACAGAGGTCCTGACTCTCGGTGGTCATTAAAAATCCCATGGCACTTCTTGTAAAAGAGTAAGGGTGTAACCCCGGTGTCCTGGCCAGCTTCCCTCCATTGGCATTTGTCAATCATGAGCTTCTAATAATCCCTATCCACTGAATTGGCTCTATCACTCGCTCTCCTCTCAGTCTCCACCTATAGCTGGTGTGTGGTGAGCGCACTGGATTTGTACTGTGGCTGCCGTTGCATCATACAAGTGGATGCTGCACACTGGTGGTGGTTGAGGAGACACCCCCTGATATATAAATGCCTCATTCATTTATTTATTTATGCATTCATAATTATTCACAGAAAATCTGCTGTGGCACTTCTGACATCTTCATGACTGAAGTAGTGATGTCCAATTTGTGAATGAATCACTCTTTTGAGTCAGTTCTTTACAATGAATTGATTGATCTTGTTGACAAAACTGGTCTGAATTATTTGTTCATGAATCAGACTCATCCGGTTCAAAAGTTTAACTCACTGACTGAAGAACTGAATCTCTCTTTTGTGTCAGATCTTTATAGTGAATTAGTTAATCCTGTTGACAAAACTGATTTGTTCATGAATCGGACTGATCTGGTTCTTGAGTTCAACTCGCTGCCTTCACTGTATTGGTCACAACCGTTAACAGGCCGTTGTGACTTTATTTTCAGTAAATAATGACTTAAATTATTTATTTATTTATTTATTTTGCACAAATCTATTGTGATGACTTCATAGGACTTGGATTATAGTGCCTGAGTCATATCAACTACTTAATTTTGCATCATTTGTGAAGCTCGAAAAGGATTAAACTATTTTTGGATTTGATTCTACGCAGAAGTATCTGTAGTATGGATGGAACAAAAGCTGATGAAACACAGAGCAGGGAAGGATGGATAAACATAGAGAACAGACGAAGGAGACTGCACAGATCGCCGCCCAAGGCCTACGCAGTTTCCTGCGAGAACAGAGATTTCAGAGAGTCCCGGGGTGAACCGCAAGCGGTCGAGGAGGCTGTGAGAACCGCTTTGAGCCAAGTCGCTAAACCTTGCCTTCCATGGAATACATAAACCTGCCACGCCATTTGATTTATCCTCCTCATTCACTCGCTCCTGTTACTCCGAGTTATAAACATCGTGTGGAAATGGAGGGAGAGGAGGAAAGAAAAATCACAGTCAGAAACCGAGAACATCCACCTTTTCAAAACCGAAACGGAGTGAAATAACTCTAGGGATGTGATGTATGACAAACTTCACCATGACGTTATGTAGTTAATTTATCTGGAGTAACACACTCTTACACACTCACACACTGGAATTCTGGTCTTGTGTTCATCATTTTTTCTTATTATATCTCACCCTCTGTCTTTGAATCTATTATATGAATTAACAAAATGTTTTTTCATTGTATTCCCCATGGTTTTAATCTCTTTTTGGACACTCATTTTGTCCATCAATTTTTCTGAGCACAAATCCATTTGTGTCCCTGTGTGCTTCGCTCTTGACCTGCTGTGTGTTCACTCAACATATTTGTTTGCGTTCTGTCTTATCTGACGTTTCTGTGGGATTATGTTTTTTTTCCTTCTGTTTGTGTGTTGTTGTGTTATTGTTCATCAGCACAAACATGTTTATTTGTTTGCATGGACAGATGGAGGAGCTGTTGGCTGCCATGGAAAAGGTGAAGCAAGAGTTGGAGTCCATGAAGGCCAAGCTGTCGTCCACCCAGCAGTCCTTGGCGGAGAAGGAGGCTCACCTGACCACGCTGAGGGCAGAGCGCAGAAAGCACCTGGAGGAGGTGCTGGAAATGAAGTAAGACTCCTGTCCTTCACTCCTTATGGCCTGATACTGCGATTTGTTGCTGTATGGCTCATATGTTCAATTTCAATGTTGCTTGTTTTAATATATAGTTTGATAAATAAGATTTTTTCTCTTTGCTCTTTTGAAATGAGTATGTAGATTTATTGTCATTACCAGCTGTGTCCTATTACAACCTGGCGTGGACATTGTTACTCTGTTTACTTGCAAAGAGGTTAGCCAATCAAAACAGAAGCCATCCACATGTAGATATCTTAAAAGTACAGAACAAATGTATCTTGTTTAAATCTAATAATTTAGGTTCAACAAGATCACTGTTAGAAGGATTTTTGTGATCTAGGTCAGGGGTTTTCAAACTGGACCCCCAAATATGATGAGAGTTATCATATATATCATATCATATCTTATCTGTCATCTTATCATGTATTTTATTTTATTTTTCAGAATGTAATAATGCATATTCTATTCCACAATAATATGCATTGAATGCTTCATACTATTTTTTATAGATAACACGTGAAACGGTATGCATTATTTCATTGTATGCAGTTTACATTCTTCATCCTTTTTTTTTTTTTTTTGCAATGCTGTTTTTTTGTCTTATGATTATTTGTTACACCATTTTCTCTGAACTTTTCCTTGGATCCCCTGTTGCTCCCCTGATCCCAGTTTGAAAATCCTTATTCCAGGTATATAGGAATGATTTTTTCCTAATGCACTAGGTCCATGGAAGGACCGTGTGCTCTTGGGAGGCTGAATGGCTTTTTGAGTGCTTCTTTATTTCAAGCTTTTCCTCGTCAGACACATCTCTCCTAGAGAACACTTCAGCTGAATCCAAGGACCCTCTCACTCTCCCTCTGTTCTCCCTCAGCATTCGCACAACTCTCTCTTGTCTTTTCTCACTATCTCACAGGATTTTTTGCTGCTCCTTTGCTTATCAGTGCCTGTGGCACTTTAGTGTTTTGAGCACTTCCTGACTCTAGATAGGGATAAGAGGAGTACTAGAGGAATATATGAGGTTGAAGGTCTCTATACCATAACTGAATCAGGATTCAATGAAGGTGGTTCTTCAAGGATCCCTGCTAGAAGTCTGAGCTTAGAGGAGGAGTTACAGAAAAGAGGCCCTCGGCCCTCTCACTTTCTAATTGATGTGGCTCCATTCAGATGGGTTTGGGCCCTAAAGATAAGACATTGACTTCTGCCTTATAGGGTCGGAATATATCATTAAATTTGATGCTCACTTCAAGCGTTGAGTTCACTTAAGAGTTATAGGCATACATCTAAGAGGAATGCTGTAAAGATAACATATTTTTAGTTGTGATTATTTAATGTTTGGTAGCACTTTAAAGTTTAACATTAGTTTGTGCATTGACAACAATAGCATTTATTAAGATTAATATTAGTATATCATTGTTCATTGTCAGTTCGTGTTCTTTTTTATAATTTAATGTTAATTTATAACTTAAAATGTTAGAAATAAAAATGAAAAAGTGAAATTAAATATTTTTAAAATTTATTTAGAAGTAAAAATGACAAAAAAGAACTAGAAATGTATGTTTATGTACAGTCGATATTACCATTACGATTAAAAATGCTGTAAAAGTATTGTTCTTGGTTAGTTCCTGATATTTAATGCATATTGATGAAACGTGTCGATGAATTGATGAAAAATTGATGTAAAGTGTTACCAAAAATATTTTTAATTAATTACATGACTTGCCATGAATTGCATGTCCATATTTGCTGAGAAAAGTCCCCAGTTGAAGGTATTTCAGAGTCATTACATTACTGTTACAGATGAATCATTGAATAGACAAAAAGATTTGTTTTCCTTCACAGGTGGTGACATTATTTTTCTGCCTCTTTTAAACATCCTCTACTGTATACTGTCCTCACAGGGCTATTGTTTTATATTTAATATCAAGCGAGTTCAGAATAATGATTGTGGTTGTGGAAAAATGAGTCAGAATGGGATTTTCAAGGACACTCTGTGTTTTCCAGATTGGCGTGGTGATTTGATTGTCAGCCATATTCTCAGAGACACGGATGTGCGTGCACGCTTGAGTTATGCTACCGATGGATTCTGGCAGTAAAAGAAGATAAGGAGAAGGCTGAGAAATGATGGGAGTCTTTATCTAGGTGTAATGTGTTTAAATTAATGCTGTGTACCGATTCCCAAAGAGATCATTTTGCCCCATAATATGAAAGAGAAGGAGGGCCCCATTGCATCCAAATTTGGCTGTTAAAACCAGAAGGTCAGCTCAACTGAGACAGAGAGCGTTGTGTATCTCCACCAGCCTCTCACTAACCACACATTTACAAAAAAAGTCTTGTATTTGAGTGAAAATAAGGCTCTGATATGGATGGAGGAGAGAGAGAGAGAGAGAGAGAGAGAGAGGGGTGGTCTTCGATCTGTTTTGGCGATGAACGTAATGCGGTCGGGGCCGGAGAAAGTAGACTCGTGCTGCTGAAGGGGCCCCGCCGGCTGGCAGCAGACAACCAACTGGACCACTCATTAAAATTTCGAAGGAAAAACACAAAATAGCAGACGCAGAGGTCACAGAGTTTTTATTTATTTATTTCCTCGGGCTGAACTTCCGACCGCACAGTTTAAAGTCAGCAGTGTGGAGACATCGACCCTTTGGGCTGGTTCTCCATCCTCAACATCTAAAAAAAGGCAGAATCACCACTCTTTCAAAGCTCGTTTTTCCCTATGTTTTGCAAAGGACATTTAGTCAAATCTTTCGTCAGTTGTATTTGTATATGTTGTGTTTCTGCCTTCAAAGTTGAATCTAAAGGAATAGTTCTCCCAAAAATGCTAATTGGTATTATTCACGTACCCTCATGTTGTTTCAAACCTTTATGAGATGTTTAGAAGAATGTTCACACTGCTCTTTTTCCACTTAATGAAAGCGAATAGTGGCCAGGGATGAAAAAGAATAATAAAATGACATATATTTCAAGTCATTTGATATGTAAGAAGAAAAGACTGAAATTTGAATATGCAATTTGAATTTGAGGTAATTTGCATATGCGAAAGTGCATTTGAGATTCAACAGTTTCAGTGGAGGGGAAGATTGTCAATGAATAATGGCTGTTGAATAACATTTGCTCTTTCACATACTCAAATTTCCGCATTGCGTTTGGTTACAAGATGCACACCACCAATGGTGTCTGGTTTTGGTATTGACAGAACTTGAATGTCGCATCTTCACGCACCATATTTAAATATGTGCAAGTGCAAATTAGGGAATGTATCCTTATTTGGATAAACTTTACGAAATGTTAATTAATTTACAGCTTATACAACTTTTAGCTCATTAATCATGATGTTAAAGCTATTGTGAACCACCGAGGCAAATGAAGACCACAGTGAGGTCATTATTCAGATAAAACTCACTGAATGTAACCAGTAGTGAGAAAAGGCCATTATGAGGTCATCGCTCAATTAAAATCTAAATGGACTGTCAATGGGGTTCTTTGATAATGCATAGAGGTGGATTCAAGCTGTGTTGGCGCCAAGTTTTATGAACGTAACTGTGATGTACGGAGTGTGGTACTTACATTCTGGCTTGTTTTGTGGAATGAGATGAGGATTTAGAGCGAAGGGTTGAGACGGTAATGAGATCTCCAGCACACCATCCCATCCCCATGTTTCCTCTCCATTTAGCACAGTTTAAATGCCCCCGTACTGCTGGATATGAGATGTGGTGATATCCCAGTGTTCTTTCATTTGATGTGGTTTCCTTCTCTCGTTCACTCTTACTTCCACCAGCTCACGTTCTCAGCTCGGGAAAGTGTGACCGCAAGGCAGACATCAGTCGTCTCCCTTTGAGCAAATGTTTAACTTTCTTTCTGCAGTTGTTTGGGAGTGCTGGACATTTTGGAGCGCCCGCTTGAGAGGTGGATGATGATAGAGGGGTTGATCTTGATCAAGAGGGCCTCCTCAGATGTTCGCTCAAAGGCATTAAGCCACTTGTCCGTATTTTAGGACTTGAAAAGAGCTGTCGCCACCTTTATGGCTTTTACCTTGCGTCTTACTATGAAACACAAGCTCTTGCTTAGTTTTGCAAAGTTCTGGTCCACACAATTAGATCCGCCCACTTAGACAGGAAGAAAACATCTATCCATCTATGTATCTATCTCATTCTGTCTATCATTCTATCATCTTCTCTATCATTCTGTTTGTCATTCCTCAATTTTCAAACTAGACTTTGTAAAGCCGCCATTCCAGTTAAATATTACAATTACATTTCTTTAAAATTCTATTTATTATAATTTTACTTCCTTATAACTGAATTCAGGTTCTTGTTTGATTCCTCAATTCAGATGTAGAAATTGAACTGGAATATAAAAGGTAAATTCTCCCTTTTTAGGGTGGGGTTATCTGAAATAAATTATACTGCAATAACAGACTGCGGAAAAGTTAAATAATGGTTTAAATTTAAATAATGGTATAGTAGTTGTTATTTTTGCACAGACATAGCACAGTAAAACAAGGCAGGAAAACTTGTACTCTTAATCCCGGAAGTTGCAATTTGTCAGCCAATCAGATTAGAGTTTACTAGAGTAAGAATGGGCCTTTCAAGTTTGTGCGGCCCCTGGACTCTTGCAAAACCTGCAATGGTTTGCCGCTTACCCTTGCTGTAGTAGATCGATATCACTTTAAAAAAAAAAAAAAACAGCTCCCCACTCATGTCATGACTGGAGCTGGATGTCCGATGGGAGTCCAATTATAAGGTTTGAGCATAAGTCCAGGTATGTGAGGAGTGTTTGTCCGGAGGTGTTTAAATTGACACGGGGTGATTGCAAGGCTATCGGCTGCCCACAAAGTCTCTATTTGAAGGCAGGGTGAAGCTGCTAATTGCCCCTGTTAGCACTCTGGTTTCTTGGAGCGAAGCAAACGGGCCGGCTCATTACAGGGTCGGATGCTTTAGAAAACAAACCTGCGTGGGTTCAGCATGAAACCCAACCACAAATCAGCCCAAAAATCA